AAAAAAAAAAAAAAAAAAAAAAAAAAAAAAAAAAAAAAAAAAAAAAAAAAAAAAAAACACCTTGTATCAGCAGGCAAGAACTATACCCACTGAGCCAAGGAAGCCGATGTGTGTGTGAGTGTGTGTGTGTTTTTTTTTCTACTCCATCCCATTCGGACACTCACCGGTATCCGGGGTTAGGCATTGCTTCGGTGAGGCCGGGGTTAGTTGAGCATTTCTGCTACTCCTGTTAGTCGTTGTTTTCCATACATCCCCCATCCGTGGTATAGTGATATGCGACGATTAGGGGTTCAGGGACTCATCTTTATCTACTTGGTGAACCTCCGATCCTGCACGCTGCCATCGTCGATTGTCGTTTCCCCTTTTTCAGAGCCGTTTGCGTGGTCACACATTGCTGGCATCTCCTCCTGAGTTGGACATCTTCTTTAGAACTCGCTGTCTAGTGCCATCTTGTGAGTGTGGTTCTCGCTTCTGCCGCCGATGGCAAGTGCCCAATTTGCTCTGTCGGCTACATCTTGTGAGTGTGGTTCTCGCTTCCGGCGCTACGCTGTGAGTCTCCGTGAGTTTTTGATACTCCTCCTTTTTGTTGTCGTCTTGTGAGTGTGGTTCTCGCTTCAGGCGCCGACATGCGTTCCAGCAGAGCCTTGGCTCTCACATCCGGCGCCCTCTTGTGAGTGTGGTTCTCGCTTCCAACTTCATCATGGGAGTGTTGTGCTCCATCTATTGCCAGTCTTGTGAGTCCTCGCCTCGGGCTCCTACTTGTGGTTATCCTATCGCTTCCAGCTCACACAGTGATTGGGGTTTTTTACCGCTACGGAGGCTGATGACATAGCCCGGGTCTTCTTTTTTGAGTAGTACCCGCTCCACCTCGGGTTCGGGCTCGACCTCACCGAGCGAAAAATCACGAATGAAATTTTCCTCAGTAGGGATCGAACTCGCTCCCTCAGAACAGCGTTGGTTTAGCAGATAGATGGCCCAACGCCCTTACCCACTAGACCAACGAAGGCTGTATGTGTGTGTGTGTGTGTGTGTGTGTGTGTGTGTGTGTGTGTGTGTGTGTGTGTGTGTGTGTGTGTGTGTGTGTGTGTGTGTGTGTGTGTGTGTGTGTGTGTGTGTGTGTGTGTGTGTGTGTGTGTGTGTGTGTGTGTGTGTGTGTGTGTGTGTGTGTGTGTGTGTGTGTGTGTGTGTGTGTGTGTGTGTGTGTGTGTGTGTGTGTGTGTGTGTGTGTGTGTGTGTGTGTGTGTGTGTGTGTGTGTGTGTGTGTGTGTGTGTGTGTGTGTGTGCGCGAGCGAACGAATGCAACTCCATCACCGCTGCAGAGGTGACGAGCGCCGGATTCAACGAGCAAGATCACTATCTTTTGCAGGGACTAGAGTACGAGAGGATGAGGACCAGAAACCAGTATCTACCGCCAGCGAGCAACCACCAGGAAATCACCGTAGCGATTCTCTTCTCGGTGGTGAGCTAAACAGCGGAGCCGTTATCCATTTTATATTGTCGGATGATTTGTCACGTTCGAGCAGAGCTACGTTGTCGGGAGTCGTCGACCTGACCGTTTTCCCCAACAAAACAACAACATCGCCGAAGGCCGATAGGATCCGAGAAAGGAACCACTCTCAAGCTAGCTCTCAACGAACTATACACATTTTACATATTTATTGCATTACTTAATCAAGCATTTCTTTGGAGTTTTAGAAAATTATCCTGAATTTGTAAAAATAAGTTATATGTACTCTTAATGTTCACATTGGACGGTGAAGTACTTCTTAAAAGATAAAAATATGAAAAACTTCTGAACATGTCAAAATTAAAAGACATAATTGTTTATCATTTGTCTAAAGATGGTCCTATGCATAGGAAGTAAGTTTCTTAACAATAATTTTCTTGAACTGCAGTCATCTTGCTATTGTCATTTTATTTTTGACCTAATAATATCTTTATTTTGTAATTCATTATGATTTCAGAATAAGTCAAGAAGAATTTCAAAGTCCAAAGTTTTCTTTAAAGAGTTATTCCCAAAGAGTTATTGTAAAATTGATGGAAAAGCTGTAGGACTTTACGGTAGTGTTTACAACCATTGAAGAAAAGTAAAATCTCAAATGAGGCAAGGTGACAAGTTGACTGATGAAAGCGGACAAGAAAAAATTGATATTTGTTTGACTTATGACAATAATACGTTATATTTCATTTGTATTTTTTAATATTTTTCACAGTGGACGAGCAGGTGCACAATTGCCTCACAGATCCAAATTCTTCAAAATACAAATCTCAAGAAATCATTGATGCATGGAATAATGAATATGAACAGAGAAAGGCTATTCTTACAAAAGTAGATAAAACAAAAAACGTTCAGAACAAAACCATTCGTATAGGAATCATTTCACGTCAAGTCATCTGCGTCCCTACTCGAACGACGTGCACTGCTGCGCTCTTGCTTGCTATAAAAGCAAAGCGCCCGGCCAAGCAAGAGAAGTTGTCTCTCAGCAGCCAGACAGAGACGAGATAGACGCCACCGAGACACCAGGGGAACGATTCATCGATTTCGTGGCTCGCAGCGGCTACAAAGACGCGCCCGATTGGATAAAGACGGAAAGCCACTGTTGTGTCGCACCACGCCAGTCCATCGTGCATTTCGAAATGATCGCAGTTAAGGTAAACGACCCACCTTTGGAACACCGGTTTTGCACATGTTGTCTTTTTAAGCATAAATTAGCTTTATGAAGCCGCGTAAAAGTCGGATATGAGTTTTTCTTAAAGTGTTTTGGGTCTGAGAAGGTAAATTTTCCATTTTCACGATAAAAAAATAAAACAAATTTTTTTTAAAGGCGTTTAAAGCAATTTGATGACATGTCCGTGCAATGGAACATCAAGTTTCAGGTATGTCCCCGGTGTTCCACCTTACTTGGTACCTACTATGAGACACATTCGAATCATGGAGAATAAATGATATTATGATTTTTATGGCATCAGGATGTCATATTAGAAAGAAAAATAGAATTGAAAATACTTTTTTATTATATATTTTATATAATTCAACTAATTTATAATTAGTATCAAACATAAAGAAACATAATTAATTTTAAAAATTAAGAAAAACTACAAAAATAATTCTTTTCAACTTTTCCCTTTTAATAATTAAGTTTAGTGAATTGATTTCTTCCGGATTGGCTCTCAAAATTTTAAATTCAATGGTTTTTATTTCCTCTAGGAAAGGAATTTTCCTTTTACCAATTTCTTTTTTATCTGCCTGCAATTTTTTTTTCTGACATTTTATTTTCAATAATCTCCTTTTTCTGTTCTTTCTCTAGCTGTACTTTAAACTGGTTTCGTCGCAGTTAAAAACTCGACTTGGATCCAAGTGCATGATGTCTTTTGATGCCAAGAACTTTTCCACAGAAATAAACCATTCTTTTAAATCTTCCTGAGTCACTTCAGCTCTGGTGTGACTGAGCTGTTGGGCTTTGCGAATGGTTAAAACACCTTGACGTTTTTTAAAAGCTTCAAACCAATGTCTTCCTGGCCTGTCTTCGGCGAATGGATTTGGCAGTTTTTCTGCTTTGACGTATGAATCAACTGCATCGAGTACCTGATCCTTGGTCACTGAAAAACCATTTTGTGCTCTGTGCTTAATCCATTGAGCAATTTTAGCTTCAGTTTCAACTCCCAAGACAGGACCTATTAAACACAATTTATATTTACATAAGTGTACTTACATGTAATAGCTCAATTGACAGAGTTATAAAATAATGTGAATCTTACCCGTGCCAGGTTTCTTTTCCAAACTTTGTGGATTTTTATTCTTTCTAGAAAGTGTAGCTAAGGGTATATTAAATACTAATGATGCTTTTCTCATTGAACAATTCTTGATAGCTTTCAAAGCATTTTGTACATCTGATGTTGTATATTTCCTTCTCTTTGGCCTCGTTGTTCGAACAACTTTTACTACTCCTTTCTTGGCCTTAACTTTATTTTTTTTTGTGGATTTGCGTTGCGTGTTACGTGGAGTCGCCTTTTTTTCAGATTTACCTTTATTTATTGCAGCCATATTAGAATTTTCTGTAACAAATTAAGATTTGTTACATTAATCTTAAGTCAAAAATTTGTTGACATGTATTTTGATTTTTAGGTTAGTCGCATATAACACACATTAAAGATAAGAAAAAACAATTCTCTTACCTGAAAATTAAGCTGTATTTGTTCCTATACATCTACAGATAACTTAAGTTATAGCAATAACTATTATAACTATTGTTCTTTAACAACAATATGAAAAAACTTATGTTTTCACCTCGCTCGATCTCTGTTTCATAGTACGGACAAATTGAGCGGTCGCTGCACTTGGAACGCCAGTTATGCGTGTGCCGCAATACGGACGTGCGCGTGGCGCACGCATGTATTATGAAACAGTAAAATAAATAATTCAATTGAAATATATCGAGTGAATTGTTTATTTCAACACATTAAAAACATCTAAAAGTACCTAGCAAAAAAATATTCTACTCTAAAAATTAAAATTATAACAGTTCTACTCAAAATAGTAGAGTGGTTTTTTTCACACATCGCTTGCGAAATAGATGCTGATTGCACCAAAGTACAAAGTCAGAATGTAGAATTTATTTTTAAAAATAATATGATCATTAGATAGTAATAATGTTTGCTCATAATGATCATTAGGTGTTTATTTTATCATATACATTCATATGTAAACGAATTATAACCGGCTATATTTTAAAATATTGTATTATTTGTAAGTGTTTCATTTTTCGGGACATCGTTCCAAAGTTGGGTCGTTTACCTTACGCCCTAGTCTCTAATCTCTTTAAAATATACGACAAATTTGACGTAAATTACATGGACGAAGATGGATTAACACATCTTCACGTGGCCTGCTGGTATGGCCTCGACACCATCGTCGAAAAATTCCTTGAACTCGGGCAAGATCCCAACGGCTTTTCTCAAGACATGGGCGCGAGATATCCTGACCCGCCGCTATACCTGGCTCTATCCAGATGCAACGAGACAGTAGCCGAATTGCTGCTGAGAAGAGGCGCCGATGTGCTTAACGTGCTCAGTGTGGACGGAGATACTTCTGTGCACATGCTTGGCCCGATTAATCACAATGATGCCTTCCTTGAGACATTTTTCGAGATTGTCGAGGAGAAATATCTGACGTTGCAGGTCAACGCCATGAACCATGATGGCCTTTCACCGTTAGATTGTGCTGTGGCGTACAGGAACAAAAAACTGATGGAATTGCTATTGAGACACGGCGCGAATCCAAATTCGTGCAACAAAGATGGAAGTGCTCCATTGCACGTCATTTGCAGGCTATGCTGCCGCTTTGACTTGGGCGAGTTATTGGCGAAATTCTTCGCCATCAACGACGAACTCGGTAACACGGTCCAGGTCAATGCTCACAGTAAATACGGTGAAACACCATTGAACTTGCTTTTGGCTATGCCGATTGGTAGCGAATCAATTAACATCGCATACAATAACAAACTCCAAGGCACCGGTTACAACAATCGGGTTGACACATCATTGCTCTTGGTTTTGCAGAATTTAAAAAAAAATGCAGTTGAACTGTTGCTGAGAAGGGGTGCCGACCCTAATGTGGCTGACAAGGCATTAGGATTTACCCCTCTGCACGTCGTATCTACTGATGACTTGGCGGAGATGTTATTTGAGATCTGCGATGAAAAACATCAGATAGTCGAGGTCGACGCTCGGGATAACGAGGGTTGGACACCATTGCACGGAGCAATATTTGATGGCAACATAAACTTGGTAGAAATTTTGCTAAGAAGAGGCGCTCGTCCGAATATAGTCGACAAGAGAGGATCGACTCCTTTGCACTATAGTTGCAAGAGAGACGTCGACGACGAAAACATGGCAAATATGTTATTTCAGATTTGCGATGAAAAGCATCAGATGGTCCAGGTCGACGCTCAGGACAATGAGGGTCGGACACCGTTGCACGAGGCAATAGACAAAGGCAACATAAAATTGGTAGAAATTTTGCTAAGAAGAGGCGCTCGCCCGAACTTAGCTGATAATAAGAAACTTACTCCTTTGCACGCAATATGCAAGAGAAAAAACGGCGACGATGGCTTGCTGAAGAGATTTTTCGAGATCAACGACGAATTAAATCAGCTGGTAGAGGTCAACGCCGACGAGAACGAGGAGGGCTCGACGCCGCTACACTTGGCTCTGTCCCATGGATGCAAAAAACTGAACGAATTGCTGTTGCAAAGACACGCCGATCCAAACTTGGCCAACGCAGAGGGTCATACTCCTCTGCATGTTATATGTCAGAGAGAAGACGACGATGTTGACTTGGTGAAGATGTTATTCGAGATGGGTGACAAATTCAATAAGCCGATCCAGATCGACGCCCGGGACAAATCCGGTTGCACACCATTGCACTTGGCTTTGAATGGCGTCCACGAACAAATAGCCGAATGGCTGCTGAGAAGAGGAGCGGATATAAATTTAGCCAACGCGCAGGGATCGACACCGTTGCACTTGATTAGCGCGGGAAAGATGGACTGCGCTGACTTTTTGCAGGCGTTTTTGGAGATCAGCGACGAGCAAAGGCGGCCGGTGGAGGTCGACGCACGCGACAACGAAGGTAAAACGCCGCTCCACCATGCTATAAGTCACCGACACAAGAAGGTGTTTGAATTACTGCTGAGAAGAGGCTTCGATCCGAATCTGGCCGATAACGATGGTTCGACAGCTCTGCACACGATTTGCATGGCCGACGACGACAACGGCTGGGCGAAGATGTTGTTTGCAATCAGCGAGGAAAAGAATCGACAGGTGCAGATCGATGCTCGGGGCATGTGCGACTTTACACCACTACACCACGCACTGGTCAAAGTAGAGCTCAGGGCGGTGGCGGAATTGCTTCTGAGAAAGGGCGCCGCTACGAATTTAGTCGATTGGGAGGGGTCGACTCCTCTGCACACGGTTTGCAAGTACGCCGATGACGATTACTGCGTGAGGATGTTGATCGAGCTCAGCAACGAAGAAAATAAGCCGATCGAGGTCGACGCCCGAGACAAGCTCGGCCGGACGCCGCTACACCTGGCCCTGGCCAAAGGAAACGGTCAGGTGGTCAAGTATCTGCTGAAATTAGGCGCCGACCCCAACTTGGCAGACGAGAATGGATTCTCACCGTTGCACGTCGTCAGCAAGGACCGTTACGACGACGCTAAATTGCTCGAGCTGTTTTGCGACGCCAGCAAAGAGGTCGATCGGCCGTTGCAGATCGATGTCCAAGACAAGAACGGCCGGACCCCTCTACAATGGGCCGTGGCGAATTTGTTTCTCAATGTGCTCGATGTACTCCTGGAGCAGGGCGCCGATCTGTCCAGCTTTGTTTTTCCCAGCAAGAGCTTTTTCGTCGAGAGATTCGGACCGATAAGTGAGATGCACCAACGTGAACGGATCAAGTTTAAATTATCACTAGCGTCTAAAATTGTTGACGTGGTAGAGCGTCTCGAGAAAAGAGGATACGAATTTGATCGCAGCAACACCCTGGATATCATGAGTTTGTTCGCCGAGTACGATCTGTTTGACAAGTCGACGGATCTTGAAGAAAATTGGTACGACGACGAAGAATTTGTGAGCAAATTGAAAGAGATAATGGTGATTCCTAGCCTGTCGCTTCACGACCTTATCAGATTGAGCCCGAAAGAGGCGGCGAATCAACTAAAACATGAGAACTATGTCGAGTTAGCGCGCTCGAACAAATTGTCGGATCTTCCCGAAGGCCACAGGGAGGTTTGTGCTCGGCATCTGTGCGAAAAACTGTCCAGAGGATTTTTCTGGCCTTGGGCAATAGATGCGTTCTATGAACTGCAACGCCACCAGCTACCGGTCATCTGCTGTGAAATGATCATTGAGAACCTAACGAACGGGGATTTATATAATATTTGCTTGGCATCCATACTAGCACCGACGAAAGCTCGTGATTGCTCGTTAGTTTTGTTGTCATAACTATGTAGATAACAAACAATTATAAACGGTATCAAAAAATTGTAACAAATTACTTGAATTCGAAACCTAACAATAACACCGATTCATAATAATTTAATATATAGAAACAACAGTAATTTAGCTTGTACGGATCTCCAAAATCTCTTTGTTAGACAGTGACTATTGCAACTATATCCATGTAAATAGAAAAAAATTGTAATAATACTTATAACTTTTCTCAAATTCTCATGTAATTTTGTAAATATTTAATATCATTAAAATGTGTTATAAACCATCTCACTCCAGTCTTATATATGGCCGATTCTCTGTTAAATCAACCGGTCAAAATTTTTTTTTTCTATATCTAATTTGATGAACACATTGTTTGGGATGTCAGGAATGCACAAAAAATTTTTAGAGCGATTGGGGCCTTTTATCACCCTTACTAAGAATTTCAAAGTTAGCCTTTTTCGCATTTTTCCGTAATTTATCTAAGATCGCAAATATACCTATTAAATTCACTTACATCGCAGTACTATATATGAGCAGTTTTTTCATATATGTACAACTTTTGTGCGGGGGGTTCTCGGATCTGCCCCAAAATTTAGTATGTTATTTGGGTATGTGAAAATAGCCTTCAGGTAAATTTTTAGCCCTCTAGGGGCCTTAGGGCCCAAATTTGGGCCCCTCGAAGGTCCAAAAATAGCCGTTTTTACCTATTTTTGCGTATTATTCAAATATTTGTAACTCGGGCACCGGTGCATATTTTTTAACTCTGAGGGTCGCATTTTTTAGGTCAAGACATGTACTTTTCGTAAAAAAATTATGTAGAGCTCGATAGACCAACCCCCGGTTATGGGGGGGCAATGAAGGGGGATGAAAAATCGCAAAATTGACGTTTTTTAGCTTTTTTTGAATTGATGCAGAAGGCGACTGGATTGACGTATTTACTTTTGCAACGTCTCATTTTAAAGGTATTTTTATTACCTTTAAATTGCCGTGCGCAGAATTAAGATTGGTTCAAAAACGACGGAGATAGAGCTGTTTAAAGGTGTCAACATTATGAAAAAAGGCGTTTTTTCGAGATTTCGATAAGCTGTAACTTTTTTCTAGTAACATGAATCTCTTTGAAATTTTATGTGAAAGTAGTTGATTACATGTAGTTTGAAGCCATGTAGGTAAGGATCTTGGTATTTGCCTCTATAACCGAAAACGAGGCCCCCGAAATCCGGCACTTTAGCCCTTATATAGGCAAAATACATGTTAAATTGGGCGGCAAAACTATTTGGTAACTCCTGAAATTATCGCAAAATAAACATAAAAAAAAAATCAAAAACCCCATA